TGAGTGACACCGGCAACCAACTGTGCCTCCAGGTGGCAGTACTTCATCAGAGAAGTCGAGGATGGCAAAGCTCATTCGAGGAATGAGAGACTGAGGTTGACGTCAGAAAGGTTTATCGTGGGACAGAGTCACAGAAGAGAGAGAGAGAGAGAGAGAGAGAGAGAGAGAGAGAAAGAAGCGGCCATCAAGATAAAACCTACCAGTTGCCGGCATGGTGCCACCACCGAAGGTGCGTGCTTTGTACTCAAAAGGTTCGACACCCCTCTTAGCGGCGTCAGGATATACGTCTTTTAGGACGGCTGGGCTGAATCCGATAGCCATGATGATCTCATTATCCTCGTCACGGATGTCGGCTGGCGAAATGCGATCAACATGGGCCTTAAAAAAGAAACAAGAGTAAGTCAGGTCGAATTGCGTCCAGCAAACAAATGAAAGCTGAAAACTACTACCAGCAGCAGCAAATGACACGAGTCTTCCTAGCGCACGCTATGTTATTCAGCGGAACCCAAAATGAGCAGCTTTAACTGTAGTGAAAATTCTATCGTCGGTTTTGACAAAGTCCATCATGTGCTTCGCAGAAGAATGGTGCAGGGACCGTGATATGCGCGTGAATTAGTGTAAAGAGATATTAGACTTGCGCAGCATTAACCGCACTCTCTCCCCCACCTAGACTAGGTGTCATGACCAAGCCGGGCGCAGGCGATCGGCTCGGTGCCGCCACAGCTGTCCCAGGTTGCACGGAATGCGAGTATCATAAAGACCACGTTAAGGATAAGCCATTGCAACCTGACTCTCAGTCGACCAGTAAAAAACTCCACACAAGCAAACAGTAGACTAACCACGCAGTCCGATTCATCCCATCAGTTGGAAACCTTCCAAGTCATGACTTTTAACGCAATGTGACAGCCTTAAGCAGGTCACTGAGGACTTGAAATGGACTGCTGGTCAGTTTAACAGCTGAAAGCAGAAAGAGGGTTCAACAGCTCACTGTTCAGGCAGACAATCGCTCTAAAATCGACGCTTGTGTACAGATTGAGAAGCAGAAGCCGTGTTGATCACCGGAATCATACTTTTATTAGTCTGAGCTTTCGAATTCTCGAGTGAGTCCATCGTCAGAAGTAGAATCGTCAATGAAAACGACGCTTGTGTGGCTGCCTGTCAAGCACCGAAGTCACGTGACACAGACTGGAAACTGCGCGTGCATGCACAGACTGCTAGCAGAGATACCAAAAAGCATGCAAAGTGCACGTACTTGGTCCCTGGAACTTGCTTCTCGCTGGCTAGCTACCCTTCCCCAGCCAAACCTGCAGGGAGTGCCTTTCGGTTAGTGTGTGGTTCGTCCCAGCAAAGTTGCGCGAGACATCCTGCAGTTGCTGAGTTGGATGCCTGGCATCTCCACCCAACTCATATGGGCATTACTTTCAGATCGCGCGACTGCGATTCCAGGCGCAGAACTAATCCAGGCTGTCATTTAGCCTTGAGCCGTCGGTTATCGTTAAGCGCTATTGACGAACATAGAGGATTATATTCACAGCGCACGGTGAGTGGCGTAGCTCAATGGTAGTGCGTTGGCTGCGCAAAAGCCTTCCCTGCTGTGTAGGTTCGACTTCCACCGAGGCCAC